GTACATGGCTATATTTGTACGTTTGTGATTGGTCGTGGTTCCCTTCTGTGGCCTGGGATCATGCTGCTATTGGGTGCTGCTATAGAAGGGGCTCTTTTACATCCCCTCCCTTGGATAAAATCACCATCAACCTGAAAAAAACCAGGCCATTTATAATTCAAATGGGGAAGTTCTTGAGATGTCACCACTTTGCGGTTGATCTTTGTTCTATTCTGACGCTACGGATGAAGGAAGTTCTCTCAGTGTTGGACTTTAGCAAGCTTTAAGTTCAAGCTTTGCAGCACACCATCACAACCATTCTTTGCACTGCACTGATTTTATATGATCAGGTTGCGAAAAGTTCACTATTGGAAATGCTTCTTGAAGCACACTTAATGGCCGAAATGACGTGGACAACCCTCCAAATATTCAAGTTCAGGTGTTTCCAGTGAAGGGTGAGGTTAAGGCTATAACATACAAAGACATTGTAGACAATGATACACTTCCAAACTTGTGGTAACGGTTTGGGGAAGACCCTTCTCTGTTCCGGCATGACTGTGCCCCTCTACACAAAGACAGCTCCATAAAGACATGGTTTGATGAGTTTGATGTGGAGGAACTTGTGTGGCATGAACAGAGCTCCACCTTCATCCCTAGTCAACTATCAACTGGATGATTTGGAATGAGTCATGTTTTTTCTTCCAACCTCACAAATGCTTTTGGATTTTTGAGCACAAATTTCCATAGACTCCAAAGTCTTGTGAAAAGTCTTCCCAGAAGTGTGGAGGCTGTCGACAAAGGGGGGTGGGGCTTCATTTCAATGCCCATGGTTTCGGAATGGGGAACCCAGCAAGCTTATATAAGTGTGATGGTCTGGTGTCGGCTATTATATTTAGTGTGTGGCTGAAGCCAAACTCTTTAAAATATGTTAAAGTGGTTGTAAACACTTACATATAACCAGTGAAGTGACTGGCCTCAGGTGATACACAGAGATGAAACAAATCCTCCTACATAAGTTGTACCTGTTTATCTGTTGTCTTATTTTCTCTACATCCGTTCAAAGTCCAGAATTTATACAAAATGTCTGAGAGTTCAGAAAAAGGGGGTGGAGAGCTGAAATTATACTCTGCAGAGCTCAGGGAGGAAAGCTCTGAGAGCTGACTGAAGGGAAGAGGCATATCCTCCTTCAAACATGACACATGAACAGAGTTGAGGCTGTCAATCAGCTGGAGGTCCCTCTCCTGTCACCATTTTTCTCCTGGTGTCATTAAAAAAGTGATTCATGCTGATAGCAGAGGAACAAAGCAGCAGACAGAAATTACACTTAGTGCTCTTAATTGAGTCAAATACACTCTATAGGGGGATATGGTTTGTTCATATTTCATGTGTGAAGTTTACAACCACCTTAATATTAGATTAAGGGAGTGATCTCCAAACTGTGGCCCGGGGGGGGGGGGGGCTGGAAGTGGCCCTTTGCTTGCCTTTTTCTGGCCCTTAAGGCACTCTTGCTCCCACTGACACCAGCAATGTGCACTATTCCCATGACTGATATCAGCTGACATTCTCCCCATTGATGCCAATGACAGGGCACTACTCTTTATCCTGATAGCAACAATGGGGCACTATTCCTCCCACGAGGATAGGGCACTATTCCTCCCACTGATACCAATGATGGAGCATTATTCTTCCACTGATACCAATGATGGGGCACTATTCCTCTCACTGATACCAATGATGGAGTTTTATTCTTCCACTGATACCAATGATGGGGCACTATTCCTCCCACTAAAACCTGAGGGGGCACTATTCCTCTCACTGATACCAATGATGGGGTACTATTCCTCCAACTAAAACCTGATGGGGCACTATCCTCTCACTGATACCAATGATGGGGCACTATTTCTCCCACTGATACCAATGATAGAGTGTTATTCTTCCCACTGATACCAATGATGGGGCAATATTCCTCCAACTGATACCAATTATGGGGCACTATTCCTACCACTGATACCAATGATGGAGCACTATTCCTACCACTGATAACAATGATGGGGCGTTATTCTTCCACAGATACCAATGATGGGGCACTATTCCTCTCACTGATACCAATGATGGGGCACTATTCCTCAGACTGATACCAATGATGGGACACTATTCCTCCCACTGATACCAATGATGAGGTGTTATTCTTCCCACTGATACCAATGATGGGGCACTATTCCTCCCACTTATACCAATGATGGGGCGTTATTCTTCTACAGATACCAATGATGGGGCACTATTCCTCTCACTGATACCAATGATGGGGCACTATTCCTCTCACTGATACCAATGATGGGGCACTATTTCTTCCACTGATACCAATGATGGAGTGTTATTCTTCCACTGATAACAATGATGGGGCAAAATTCCTCCCACTGATACCAATGATGGGGCGTTATTCTTCCACTGATACCAATGATGGGGCACTATTCCTCCCACTGATACCAATGATGGGGATGTTATTCTTCCCACTGATACCGATGATGGGGCACTATTCCTCCCACTGATACAAACAACGGGGCACTATTCCTTCCACTGATACCAATGATGGGGCATTTTCTACTCACACTGCCCACAGTCAGACCCTCTCAAAGTCTGAAGGACAGTAAAGTGGCCCTTTTGTTTGAAAGTTTGGAGCCCCCTGGACTAAGGAGTGGTTAAAACCCTGTAATGCTTCTTTGCTGTCTGTGCACCAGTGGGAAGATGCAGGCAAGAGTGTGAGGTGCAACATCTGCTATACTTGAGTGAAGATGTCACTCTTTTAGGTTAGCTGTGCTAGGAAGTGAAGTATATCTCTTCCCCTTGTCTTTCAGTAGTAAACAGAGTGTCAGGAGACCACTGCTCACTAGAGGGAGTCATCATAGAGCTAATTTGCTACGATCTCGGCGCCATCTTGGGACAGTCCGTGTCTAGTTTTCAAAGCCTTTTTAGGACCCCAGATGTGTATAATAGCAAAATCTTCATCATCAAATGGCCCCAGAGTTAGATGCACAGATAGGGACAGGAACCCATTTGGTAGGGTCAGGCAGGCTCTGGAATGCATTCACCCAGACAATTGGGATTGAGTCCAGGAGATTCTGAAAAGTCTAGAAGCTGGGTAGCTTTGGGAGGTCTGGGCTGATTGGCAGAAGCCAGATGAGCTGTCCAGTGTTTTTAGAGAATTCCAGGTAAAGAAACCACTACTCTTCAGCATTTAAGGAGGGCTTACTTCACCTGGTCTCCTTACTATAGGAACTGAAGACTTTTAATCTGAACTTGTGTCAGCTGTCAAGTTTATCTTACTGTCCAGAAGTGAAATTAAGAAACTTCCGAGGGTTTGTGGAGGACCACAACATTGATTCTATTATGTTATATTCTGCAAAGTTACCTCTGTATACTTTTCTAAAAATTCAATAAAAACTATTGGAAAATAAGAAAACTGAGGGTTACTGTACTTTACAGGTGTTGGGTGAAAACTACAAAAAAAAAGGAATAGTTGGTGTGTTTTTTTTCCTTTATACTTCCATCACTTAGTTGTTAATAATTACAAAGATTTCTCTTCATTTTTTTGTCCCAGAAACACAACTGGAAGTGAGCGCAAATCTCTCAGAATGATTGTCACTGAAAAAATGTCCCTGTTGAAAGATTTCCCCTCACTTCCTGTTTTGGTGACAACTGTAAAATGTGTAAAAGCCTTTCATTGGACAGTGAAGGATCAGCAACAGACTGATGAGGTCATCTTTTTTCTTCTCCTCCCATCATTATGTTTTTTTTAGCACATGTACCCACCCGATTAACTTCTCTTTCTGCTAGTCTGTGCCTTTTTTTAATTTTGGAAGAAGTTTAAAGACTTCCATTTTCTCTTATGGTTTTATATCTTCTTGTGACCTCATTAGGTAGATTTTTTTCTCACTTCCTGCACTTGTGACACCCAGACAGAAAGGTGCAGACAGCAACAAAAACATCAGCATTTCTAACTCTTCCCCACTCTACTAAAAATGTTTTCCCTGTGTCCCTGTGGACAGGAAATAGGGAGAAATCTCCCCAATAGAGACACAGACAACAGACCTCTAATGGAGGATCTAAACCTTCCTCGCATTATCAAAAACAAATTAATTCAGTCCAATTCCATTTTTTTCCCTGAAAGTTACTTACATACATGCCTAAAAGTTGAAAAAAATGTATAAAATGGAAGACTTGTCTATAGGATTTTTTGAAAAAAAATATTTATTAATAACAAAAACCATTAAAAAACGTAACAATAATCATATTTTCAGGTAGGATGGTTTAACAATTGTAAACACCAGATGTACAGAGGGCAGTAGTAGTAAGAAATGTCCAGAGATGTCGGGGGAACACAGAATCTTCAGGTACCATCCTGATTCTTCTAATCTCATAGGCACATGATAGCTGCCACTTAGTAAATCCCATTGGGTTGGTGAATTGACTTAAAGTAGGACTCCAGGCAAACAACTACATACACAGATGAAATACACATATAGGAGCCCTGAAAAATTTATTTGTATCTCTGTCCATCTAGTCCGGAGATGTACACAGCCTGGTAGAGGAGGAGACCTGATCTTTCTCTGCTGCAGTTTCACTTTCACTTACACCCTATCCCACCATGTGACTGGACAGTAAAAAAAAAAAAAAAGTAGCAGCACTCTGTTAAAGTTGTATCTCTAACACTCTATCCTCTCCTTCTCTCAGCATGACCCTTCCACTGCAACATACTGGCTCCCTGGGCTCTTTATCCCTCCCTCAGTCCAAGCTCTGCTGTGAAGAGACAGCAGGAGGTGAATACCAAGTTAAATTCAGGTTGTTGCACCACTTGTATTAAAAACAAATTACATTCAAAGACATATTAATAAATACGGAGAGCATTAATTGGTGTCTTTTATATCTGTCTGGAGTTTGGCTTCAGGAAACTCTGTAAAGAGGATCTGTTGGATTCCAATTGTTGGGTTGGTAAAATCTTGGTTATTTCTAAACAGTAGTGGTCACCGGGGCAAGCAGCCGGATAGGGGATCTGCCACTCTGGGCACAGTCACAAAGTTCACCGGGCAGCGTAAGTATGGACATATCTGTTCATGGTCCTTCAATACTTGGCTCAAGTGTTTCAGTTCGTCCGTGAGTTTTCCAATCTCCCTCTTAAGAGAGGAATTTTCCTGTTCCAGGCATTCATATTCCTGCAAAAGAAAAACATAAAGATGAAGACCTTGTTGGGAGAGAAGATCATTTCTTACACACAGCTATTTATTTAATATAGGTACTTATATAGTGCCATCAATTTACACAGCACTTTACATATATCTATCTCTATATCTATATATATATATTATACATTCACATCAGTCCCTAACCCTCAAGGGGTGTACAATCTAAGGCCCCTCACATTCATACATATCCATACTAACATTCATACATACACATACTAGGGCCAATTTAGACAGGAGCCAATTGACCTACCAGCATGTCTTTGGAGTGTGGGAGGAAACCGGATACCTGGAGGAAACCCACGCAGGCACAGGGAGAATATGCAAACTCCAGGCTGATGGTGCAGTCATTGGGATTTTAACTAATGACCCTAGTACTGTCAGGCGGAAGTGCTAACCATTTAGCCACTGTGCTGCCCACAGCTGATTTCCTTTCTAGTAATACCAAAGAAGAGTAACCCCCACCGACACAAGTAAGCTTCTTTTAAACTGAATTAAGAGTGTAAAGCAATATGCTACACAACAAAGATAGTAAAAACATCAATCATTATTTAGCTTTTGTGTATTTGGTCTCTTCCCCTGTTTCCCCCTTCTGTTTAGCCTTTTATAGTGCAGTAGTTAGCCAGACACTCCCAGTCTCACAATGCTGCTTTACTTTCAGTGTTCCACCTCTGCAGAGTAAGGTTTGGGAAAGTCATTGGGGTTGATTTACTAAAACTGGAGAGAGAAAAATCTGGTGCAGCTGTGCATGGTAGCCAATCAGCTTGTAACTTCAGCTTGTTCAGTTAAGCTTTGACAAAAAAAAACTGGAAGCTGATTGGTCTCTGTGCAGAGCTGCACTAGATATTTCACTTTCCAGTTTTAGTAAATCAACCGCATTTTCTTTTACACTTCAAAAGAAAAACATCCTTGTAATGTGTTGAGTTGAAGTAGAACTACACTGGATTCTATTTCTTTGTCTTGTTGGGGAGTTAAACTGCTTGTGAATATTGTCCAGCGAGCAAATTGCCATATCCTCCATACAACCTGGATTTCTGGAGGAAAGTCTTCAGCATATAGTGACATTTAAAACAGAAGAATGTGTGTTTTATACTGTATGTGTCCAGTGCCAGTCACATGATCCCAAGCGTTCCCTTACACAGAGTTGCAGGATCACATAACCTACCGGAATTGATTAAAAATAGGTATGTACACAGATCTGTTTTTCTTTTTGCAGGTTAGGCAGGATAGGCAGGAGCAGGGGGGGGGGAGATAATTTTTAAGAATAGTTATACTTAGGGATTTCTTTTAAAGGTAATTTCAAGGGTTAAAATTATATCTAAGTGTGTCATGCTTCACAATATATATTAAATCAATAATAAACATATGACTTAAAATGATATAAACGTGATAAAACCACGTGCTTCAAACAGTGCAATATCCTGTGCAACAAAACATAAATATAAAAAATATATAAAATATTTTAATATTTTAAAATATTTTATATTTTATATTTTTATATATTTTTTATATTTATATTTTGTTGCACAGGATATTGCACTGTTTGAAGCACGTGGTTTTTTCACATTTATATCATTTTAAGTCATATGTTTATTATTGATTTAATATATATTGTGAAGCGCGACACACTTAGATATAATTTTGATTTTTCACACAAATTATGAGTATGTGTTCAGTGTTGATGCATCACAAATTAATTTGATTTTTGTCAAATTCCATAATTTTATAAGATTGTTGCACTAAGAGAATATCACATTTTAGCTCACTTTTATTTGGTAATTTCAAGGGTTTCTCCAGGGAAAAAAAAGTTGAGATGTGCCGCATTATATATAACGGATTGCTACTATTTACCTGTACTGTTACTGTGATCATTGTAACTCTTCTATCCTTATTACAATTATTAATCATTATTGCATCAGACTAAATTCAGGGACAACTTAGGAGGATGCGGGTCAATAAAAGGGACAGTCCCTACAAATAAGGGACAACTGCAAGCTACTGTATGCAAACAGCAAAAAAAAAACACCTAACAGAGGCTCTAAACCTTCACCACTCTATCCAAAATAAAATGTTTTTCGTAGATTTGGCCTTTCAGCTGTGAATGTTGTCAAGTCTGCTTTAAATCTTCCTAGAATTGCAGATTGCAGATCTGAGCACACTTGCACCACCACAGCTATTGGAAGTCCCAGGCGAATTGGGAAATACTGGAGCTTCGGCTCATAACCCAGCCTATTGGGACATAGATGGTTTTGCTTTTCAGTTTTACTTTCATCTTCACTTCCCAACTGACCAGGGCAAACCGCCAGAAGTGGGTGATTTGCAGAGTGGATACTGCACGTGTGCCTATACAGACTTCCGCAAAAGGAAAATTAAACCCCCCTCCCCCATAAAACGAGAGTTATACACTCTGTTATCTCCTGATAAAAGTAGTACTGATTTATTTTTTAAAGTACAAAAGCAATGATTTCCAAAGTCTCATAGAAACCAGTAAAAAAAAAACTTAAAGGATCAGTCCATCCAAAAGTAACACTTTAAAGTGGTTGTAAAGGCTCAAGGTTTTTTTTTTACCTTCATGAATTCTAAGCATGAAGGTAAAAAACCTGTGCGCAGCATCCCCCTAATACTTATCTGACCCCCGTCGCAATCTAGCAATGTGCATGAGAGCCTCAGCTCTCCAGGGATTCTTCCTCCTCGTTGGCTGCTGCCAATCACAGCCAGTGAGCCAATGAGGAAAGAGAGTGGGCGGCGATGAGCCACAGCTCTGTGTGTGAATGGACATGCAGAGAAGTGGATCAGGAGCCTGCTTGGGTGCCCCAAAAGCAAACTGTTTGCTCTGCAGGCACTAGGCAGGAGGGAGGTACCAGCAGCGCCGGCTGGGGGCACAAAAAGAGGAGGATCGGGACTGTTCTGTGCAAAACCATTGCACAGAGCAGGTAAGTACGACATGTTTGTTATTATTTTTTTTTTAATTTGCCTTTAATATCACTTTTAGGTTGAACCAGGGGCGGACTGACTATTTGGAAACTTGGGCACTGCCCGAGGGTCTGGGGCCAGTAGGGGGCCCCATGAGATGCCCCTGGTACCTTTTTCATAGGCTTTTTTTTTTGAGTTTGGGCAAGGACACAGTGGCTCCATGATCCCCTATTGCCCGGGGGCCCCATGAGTTGTCAGTCCACCCCTGGGTTGAACCCTCTGGGATGAGTCTTTTGGATGTCCTGCAATAATTCCTGACTCTGTTCTCATCCACTTGTGAGTCTTTGGTGTTCCCACCCAACTTAGTGTGTTTCATATCTTCCGTGTACATTCTCTGAAAATATTAAAAAATGCAAAAAAAAAAGAACAAGAACCCCATATAAAGGTTACAGCATGCATACAAACTTGGAAACTTAGGGGGTGATTTACTAAAGGCAAATAGACTGTACACTCTGCAAGTGCAGTTGCTCCAGAGTTTGGTAAATGAGGCATTTTTGCTTGCACATGATTGGATGATGGAAGTCTGCAGAGCTTCTGCTCATTTACTAAGCTCTGGAGCAACTTCTCTTGCAAAGTGCACAGTCTATTAGCCTTTAGCAAATGAACCCCTAAGTGTAGAGGTCAAACCGATGGACTCCAACAGAAACACAAAGAACTGTAACCCTCCAGCATCTGCTAAGGGCTAATGCAGTACACTACAAGGCGCATACTGTGCATGTTTTTTTTTCTAGTTTTAAGCCTCATTCACATTCACAGCGTATGCCCATGCAAAGGCCATGTTTACCCGCATGGCAATGCCTCCCTGTGCAGGCAGGCCCATTCATGTCAATGGGGTTGCAGCAGCTGCATGAACACAACCGCTGCTCCCAATCTGACAACCGCATAGGTGCAAGCGCACGGTCCCACATGCAGACAATATGCATTCGGAGGCTGTGCACTAGCACGGCTCTCGAATTGGGAACAACAGCCGCATCCCTGCAGCCGCTGCATCCCAATTGACAAGAATGGCATTGCCTGCATGGACATACATAGAGCACCGGTGCACCCTCATGCGGCTAAACACAGCTCATGAACAAGCATACGCTGTAGTACACCCCATGAGTACGAGGTCTTAGGTAGAGGTAAAATCTCCTTGAGATGGCAACTGTGAGAAGAGGGGTCCTCAAGTTCAGGAGAGTCCCTCTCACTTCTTGTAGAAATGATGGAAAATCTTTGAGAAGGGGACACAGAATAAAATCCTTTGAGGAGAAAGCTAGCACTCAGCCAGAGGACCTCAAGATTTGAGATAATGAGATCAACCAACATTTTGGGAGTCACCAAGCTCTGTCACCCTGAGAAATGGGATCCAATGGTGGGGAAAATGGTGGGAACATTGGTGTCTTATGGTTTACTCTGTATATTTGCACATTGTTCTCGTAATATGACCTCAATATAATCTTGAGGTCCACTGGTTGAGTGCTGGCTTTCTCTTCAAATGATTATTGGAGGTGTCACTGTTGGCCATAGATTCCCAACCAAGGAAACCAAAGGTTACGGTGCGGGCGGATTTGTGTTAAAGCGATAAAATCCTGGCAGAGGTTCTAGTCAAACCCTTTCTCACTTTATTTAAAAAAAATAAATAGAAACAACAGGTAAAAGACATAAAGGGGTGTTTTGAGATTGAGGGAGCTCGATGGTTTGTAGACACTGCCTCTAAAAAGAGAATATAAATGGCTTTGTGCTGTGTTCCAAGCCTAGACAGGCAAACATACCTCTTCCAGCAGACACAATCTAGCCATTACACACAGTGTGATTCCATCCTACTATTCCCCTCTCTACCATTCACAGAATGATTCGCCTAGAAACTAGCTTTCCCTCAAGGGGCGTACAATCTATGCAAGTTTATGCATCAAAAGACCAGCGGCACTCAAATCTTTGTTCTCTACAGTGTCTCATGTTAACTGTCACTTGATGAGGTGCAGCCCTCTGAAGATGAGGAAATCTTAGCACTGACAAGAGAAAACACAACAGGGCACACTCTCCTGGTGCATTACCGTGGTATCAAATGCTTTAGTATAAAAAAAAGTAACAAGTTCATACTCACAAAAGGACCATAAAAACAGATATGGAGCCAAATATATCAGTCCCAGGCAACGGGGGTCCTGTGGAACAGAATAGCTGATGCATTTCGGGAGACGCACTCCCTTCCTCAGAGCTAAGGCAGCCTTTTGTGAGTATGCACTTGTTACTTATATTATAATAGAACATTTGATACCATGGTAATGCATGAGGATTTAATAGATTCTTCATTCAGATTTACCTCGTGTAACTTGTCCGCTTTTTGCGTCTGTTTCCGGCGACTTCTCTGGGCAGCCACTCTGTTTTTTTTTTCCCTCCTTCGTACTTTTCTGGCACTTACGTCAGAGCCCTGGAAGAGAAAGAGACAGTGTAAAACAAAAGTCTAACTTTACAGCTGAATGCCAAGCAAATATCTGTACACCGATTAAGCACATATGTAACAACTATTTTACCTGGCAAAGGATTTGTATTTATGTCCATCAAGCCCTGAGATTTACACAGCTCTGCTGCACAGCACAGCACTGTCTAGAAGAGGAGGGGTCCTGATCTTACAGATCTCTTTTAGATTGTAAGCTCTAATGAGCAGCGCCCTCTAATTCCTCCTTTATTGTATTGTAACTGTACTGTCTTCCCTCATGCACTGTACAGCACTGCTGGCCCTATACAAATCCTGTATAATATAATACTACTAATAATCTCCTCTCCACCAGCACCCTGTAACATGTCAATGAACAGAGAAGCAGCAGACTGGTAAGCTCATCTCCTATTCACTCTGCTCTCTCCTCCTATCAGCATGTCTTCTTTTACACTGCAGCACCACTGATTGGCTCTTTGTGTTGCTTCTCCCTTCTGTACTCTGAGCTCTGCTGTACAGACCATTGAGAACACTGCACAAGGTTGATACCAAGTCAGATTTACAGTGTTACAGTGGACGGGGCAATGTACCTTCAAATCTTGTGTGAGAACCTTCTTCCCTCAGCCAGGGCATGGGTCGTGGATGGGTGTTCCAGCATGATAATGACCCAATACTCAAAGCCAAGGCAACAAAGGAGTGGCTCAGGAAGAAGCACATTAAGGTCCTGGAGTGGCCTAGCCAGTCTCCAGACCTTAATCCGATTGAAAATCTGTGGAGGGAGCTGAAAGTTTGAATTGCCAAACGTCTGGCACCAAACCTTAATGACTTGAAGAGGATCTGCCAAGAGGAGTGGGCCAAAATCCCTCCTGAGATGTGTGCGAACCTGGTGGCCAACTACAAGAAACGTCTGACTTCTGTAATGACCAACAAGGGATTTGCCACCAAGTACTAAGTCATGTTTTGTGAAGGAGACCAAATATTTATTTCCCTCATGAACATGATATCAGTGCATCATTTGTTAGACATGCATTTCTTTTGAAATTTTTGTTGCTATTCTGTCTCTTGGTGTTACAATACACCGACCATTCGATTTTTAGACTGATCATTTCTTTGTGAGTGGGCAAACATTCAAAATCAGCAGGGGGATCAAATACTTATTTCCTTCACTGTAGGTACTGCTTGCATTTAAAAGATACACTTTATGGTGTATTGGTTCCTTGTGCTGTTTCTCCCTTCTGTACTCTGAGCTCTGCTATACAGACTGTCTAGAAGACTGGACAAGGCTGATACCAAATTAGATTTAGGTACTGCCTGCATTTAAAAAAAAAACATTTAGCCTGGATTCACATATATGCGGTGTGGTATATCGCATGTGATTCACACAGGAACCGCATCACATTCCTGTACAAATCACATGCGATTTGTGTGCGGTACGATTGGAGCCATACATTAAGTATGGCTCAAATCGCAGCTCACCTGCACAAAAAGGTGCAGGACTCTTTTTGATCCTATGTGATCCGATTCTGCACATCACACCGCATTTTGCACACCGCTTTCGGGGTGTTGTTAGCTTAACATACACACCCGCAGAGGTTTGCATGAACAGGGTGCGATTCTGATGCGGTGTGGAATTCGCACAGAAAACACTGCGAATTCCGCACCGCATCAGTGTGAACCAGGACTTAATGGTGTGTTAGTAATTAGAGTTTAGCTATTTTGCACCTTTTGTATCTGTTTGAAGTTCATCTTTAAAGAAAATGATAAAAACAACACTGGAAAAAGTTATGTAAGGTAGCAGAGCTGGAACAGTAAATTAAGTTTTGGATAAAGTGAGAAGACTTAGAACTACGGTAAGATTTTCATGGATATCTGTGTCCCCATAGGTGAGATTTTTTTCTTACTTCTTAACTCTGGTTGCACCATTCTTTGGATGGGGAAGTCAGGACAAATCAACATAGCGGGCATTAAAACTAAAGTGACAACTTTACTAATTCTTTCTGCTCTTCTGAATAAGTATTTAGTTGCTTTCTTTGCCCTTATTCGAAAGATCTTCACCCGCTACAGTGCCTTCAAAAGGTATTCATACTCCTTGAAATTTTCCACATTTTGTCATATTACAACCAAATCGTAAATGTATTTCATTGGGAGTGGCACATAATTGTGAAGTGAAAGGAAAATGAGAACTAGTTTTGAAAATTATTTACAAATAAATATCTGAAAAGTGTGGCGTGCATTTGTATTCAGCCCCCATTTACTCTGATACCCCTAACTAAAATCTGGTGGAACCGATTTCCTTCAGAAGTCACCTAATTAGTAAATAGAGTCCACCTGTGTTTAATTTAATCTCAGTATAAATACAGCTGTTCTGTGAAGAGAACATTAGTAAATAAACAGCATCATGAAGGCCAAGGAACACACCAGGCAGGTCAGGAATAAAGTTGTGGAGAAGTTTAAGCAGGGTTAGGTTATGAGCATGTGCAGAGTAACTCCTAGAGCTTTGTACTATCAGCAGATGGATTGGGGATAGTAGAAGAAGGGGAGGATCAGAAAAGACAGGATCAAACAGCCTGTTTATACAATGCTGAGTATTGACCTCCTAAGTTCCACAGTGAGTATAACAAACATGCTTTACTGCATATACAGACTGATTTTACTGTTGTGGGTTTAGTAACACTTTAACAACTCGACCTTCACCCTGGGTCTCTCCCCACAACATTTTCCTTGATGGGCTAATAAGGTTCTACTTCATAGAGCAGAATTTTGCTATGCCCAGGGCATCTTATCGAGGAAAACTCTCGACAGAGACAAATATCACATGCTGCCCTCAGAATATATTCAATATGCTCAGATCTTCCACTTTTTGAAAACTCTGGGGCGGCGCACTGATCTCACCACAATGACGGCAATGGAATATTTGTGTAAAAATCTCAATGAGATCCCAGGACATATTTCGGCTATATATTGTCTTCTTTCCTCTACCTCTGTTAAACTATCTAATATGTGCATAGGGGAAAGTGACTTGGCTGAGGACCTGGATCTTGCTGAATGACATAAATTAATTCTATTAGCCTCAAAATCCTATAAAAAGACTTCTATTATAAAGGTGAATTTTAAAGTAATATTGCCCTGGTATATGGTACCCAGGAAAGTGACCTCGTATGTCTCAGGGGCCTCCCCCAATTGCTTTAGGGGGTGCAGACAAGAGAGGACCACATACCACATATGGTGGATATGCCTGAAAGTCAAAAGATTTTGGATAAGAGTTTATAATGTTATCTATTCAGTCACACAGATTACTTTAAAAAAAATTCCCTTAGCAAGCCCTTAATAATCAACTCATCGAAGAGGCACGGAGACATACCAAAAGGCTAATCTCCATCTTTTTAGCAGCCAGGATAGCCATAGACAGATCCTGGAAATCACCCTCCATGCCCTTCGATCTGGTCAAAGCACAATTGTCATGTATGTTAGTATATGAGAAATTAACAGCAGTCCTCGATGACAAAATAGATTTATTTGGGAAAACATGGGAACTATGATTACACTGTTTTTCTAGATATTAGAATGAGGTCGGCGTAGTGGGTTGCAGTGCACCTCCAACCTTTGATTCTTCTTTCTTCCTTAACTATGACTTTACTCAATTCTTTTACATTTCTTACTCTTTCAGATATTTCCTGGGTAGGATTGTTAATTTGTTATTTTTGGGTGGTAAGGAACATCTGTTTTCATATGCAGAAGATGAGCTTTCAGCTATTGACGCTATGACAATTAACTTGCACTCCATTCTTGTTTCTGTAGCAAATAAAATCCAGCAGGTTCTAGCCCTTCCCCATGCCACCCAATGCTAAAAAGGACTTCAAATCTAAGGGCTCATTTACACAGGCATATATGTATTTCCACAGGTTCTTGCTGGCAGTACTAACAGAAGATTCTGCTTAAAATACACTATATTGCCAAAAGTATTGGGACGCCTGCCTTTCCACACACATGAACTTTAATGGCATCCCAGTCTTAGTCCGTAGGGTTCAATATTGAGTTGGCCCCACCCTTTACAGCTATAACAGCTTCAACTCTTCTGGGAAGGCTCCACAAGGTTTAGGAGTGTCTATGGGAAGGTTTGACCATTCTTCCAGAAACGTATTTGTGAGGTCAGGATCTGATGTCGGACGAGAAGGCCTGGCTCTCAGTCTCTGCTCTAATTCATCCCAAAGGTGTTCTATGGGGTTGAGGTCAGGACTCTGTGCAGGCCAGTCAGGTTCCTCCACCCCAAACTCGCTCATCCATGTCTTTATGGACCTTGCTTTGTGCACTGGTGTGCAGTCATGTTGGAATAGGAAGGGGCCATCCTCAAACTGTTCCCACAAAGTTGGGATCATTATCCAAAATGTCTTGGTATGTTGACGCCTTAAGAGTTCCCTTCACTGGAACTAGGGGGCCAAGCCCAACCCCTGAAAAAACAACCCCACACCAAAATCTTCACTCTTGGCACAATGCAGTCAGGCAAGTTTCGTTTTCCTGGCAACCGCCAAACCCAGACATGTCCAATCGGATTGCCAGACAGAGAAGCATGATTGGTCACTCCAGAAAACATGTCTCCACTGCTCTGGAGTCCAGGTGGTGGCGTGCTTTACACCACTGCATCCAATGCTTTGCATTGAACTTGGTGATTTAAGATTTGGATGCAGTTGCTCGGCCATGGAAACCCATTCCATGAAGCTCTCTACACACTGTTGTTGTGCTAATCTGAACGCCACACCAAGTTTGGAGGTCTTCAGCTATTGACACTGCAGACAGTTGGCGACTTCTGTGCGCTTCAGCATGTGCTGACCTCTCTCTGTCATTTTACGTGGCCTACCACTTCATGGCTGAGTTGTTGTTGTTCCCAGTTGCTTCCACTTTGTTATAATCCCACTAACAGTTGACCGTGGAATATTTAGTAACAAGGAAATGTCACGGATGGACTTATTGCACAGGTG